GGGGGGAAAGGTTAACAGCAGAGAAAACTGCCATCACCTTGAGGAAAGAAAGAATGCAATTTAAATAGGGATCTAAGGGTGAGTACATAATGTAAGATGTTATATCTTCATGGAAGTATTTTTCCTTCAGTGCTCGAAAAATTATCTGGGAGAAAATGTCTGGCTCAGTGTAGAGGAGGGGGAGGTCTTGATGGGAGTATTTGGATTCAAGGAAGGGTAAAACCTGGACTTTCACTGTTTTCTTTTTAATTTGTTTTTAGAGGTTAATGTGAATTCTAAATTTTCTCCCCAACCTGTAATTTATAAAACCAGGCTTAGATAAGTGTTTTCACTTAAAAACAAAATTCTTAGTGGTAACACATTGGTTTAAGCAAATACATTTTTCTGTGTAGAGTCTCAGACCTAGGCCATACACTGTAAAGAAGAGACTATATTAAGTGAACAGAAGTTAAAATTAAACAGAGGACATTACTGAGAGAAATGCAAACAGTAAGGATTGAGATGTGAAAGATGGCTTGATGATATTTTCATTTTAATAACTGTAGCTGGTGTTAAATGTAGCAGATAAGGCAAATTACTTTAAGACTGCATGATTTCTAGGTTATTACTCCCTGTTTTATTTCAGCAGCACTAGTACATTTCCTTATATCTGTTTTCTGCTCTCTGATCTTGGGTTGCTTTTTATTTTGAGGTTAAATACAGTGTACTTAATGCCATGTAAATCTAATTGATATTGTTCTGGTAATACGTACTTACCTGAATTACTTACCTGAATTAGGGACCTGCTGAGTGAGAAGTCTTTATCCCCTATAAATTTGTGGTAACCTCTAAATAAGCTCTACAGGCACATAAAGAAATTAAATAAGAAGTGACATCAGAGCTATAAAATGTAGATAAATTGCATCACGGTTTGAAGTTTCATGCAATGTTCAATAAAAGTGGGAGTCTTTTTCATGTACATAATTGATTTTTAAAATTATCAGCTTAGAAATGAACTATAAATGCATACAATCAGCTCTAATATGGCTGCTTGCTAAACATCTTATTTCCTACCATTTGCATGGTGGGAGGAATAAGCGGGTGTTTACAAATAACTCTGGTATAGCTCTCCCAAGGGCAGGTCTGGCTGCAATTTACATATAAAACCCCACTAAAGATTAAGGGCTGGGGTGTTTTGAGCCAGACTGGGAGCTCTTTGGAATTCTTTGGGCACATTTTTTCTGTAGACCCTATGAACTCGTGGTGGGTTTGTGGCACAAATGGTGAGGGTGTAACTCCTAGCTGAGCCCTGGGTGGCTCGGTTGGGATGGTGGCTGTGGGCTGTGGTATTCAGCTCTCCAGGGCTGTTTATGGTACTTGTGTGTTGGAGCTATTAAACCCCTGTTTATAAAAAAAACCCAATCTTTTGTTGTGCTTGGGTGCAGAAGAAATGGTAAGGGAAAGCTTTTCTCTGTGGTATTCATCTCATAGTGTTAATAGCATGTGGTACAGAAATGGGGCTTTCTGAAGGTGCTGTTTGTGGATGCTTAGGGAACTCGATGGCCAGAATGCACTGAATGGACCAAGCAAATTGGGGAGATCCACTTGGAGGTCAGGGGAGGGATTTTTGTATTTACACTGGCATGGCTGGAAGCAGAAGATGCCCTTTGCAGTCCTTGGCTGTGCCTTGACATGATAGACTCCTATGCAGTGTTAACCCTCTTTGTGTCATTTTTGTGGCTTCTGGCTGAGTTCTGAATGTTGCTGTATTCTTTTAGGAAAAAATGGAACATCCCAATGTTGTTCTGGGTTATGTGCGGTCCTGGATTCTTATTATGTTTTCAAAGGAATTTAATTTAAATCTGTATGCTCATTTTGCTGTCCATCAGATCCACAAAAAGTCTTGGGTCCTGGGAACACCTACCATATAATTGACTTTGTCTGTGTGTGCTGTGTGGCAGGGGTGTCAGACAGATGATGCCCAGGACACAGCAGTGTTGGGAGAATGTAAATGTCTGTGTCTGTTATAAAGAACAAATGTTTCTGGTGCTTCCAGATTCTGAAGGTAACACTTGAGGTAAAGCTTAAATGTAGTGCAGTTTTAGGTACCAGACCTACCGCTTATGAGATCTCCTCTGTTGCTTCCTTGAAGTATTAGCTTCTAATACTAACGCATTAGAGAAACTGATTTCAGTGACATTTAGTTTGTAGGAGTGTGGCTCTAAGGTGATTTGTGTTTGTTGTTGTTTGCCTGAGTGTGAATCAAGAACTTGTTTGTGCACAGATGATGACAAGAACCAAAAATAACGGCAGTCCCAAAAATACCATGTCGCATTTTCCCTGTGCAATGACATGGGGATGCCATTGCAACTGTATCAGCTAAGTGCCAAAATGGTTGTTTCTGCAGCCTTCTTTTGACTGCCATGAGAGTTTCATCTATCCACAGTTTCTTCATCCTTAATATTCTCCATCCTTCATTCTGTACTCCTGAAATTAAAGCTAGAAAGGAATTGGATGCCCAGCTCTTTTGGGCAGGAGAGGATGATCTGTTCTAAGTAGCTCTTCTTAAGCCAGTTTTCCTTAAACATTTGCACTATGTGTTTATAAATCAATGCTTTATCTGTAAAAAACCATGACTCAAATCCAGTTTTGGCTTATATCAAAACAGATTACTTTGAAATACACAGCTGCATGTGTGCGTGTGAAGTATCTAATTGCTATCAGTATTCTCCAGAATAAGAGCTGAGAACATTTAGGGACAAATCCTCCAAAATTTCAGTGGGATGATGGCTGCTAAATAGAGAAGCTTTGCACAGCCATCACTGAGCTGGGAAGTGCCCAAGGATTCTGGGCTTTCCTGTTGCTCAGGATCCTGTTCTGTGCTCTCATCCAGGCCACTTTGGTCTTGCCTGAGCCTGAGCTGCTCCTCTGTCTCCTTGTCCCCCACAGATCCCACATGCCATTTCTCTCCCCTCCATGGCTCCTCAGGTCAGTGGGGAGGAGAATGCACCTCCTCACACCCTCTGGCTGCTTCTGCCTGATATATTTTACCAGGAAGGACATTGCATTTTCCTTTGCATGAATAGGAAGTTGGGTCATATTTTGTATCCCACTGGATAAACAATTCATGGATCTTTCTAGACTTCCAGTGTCATAGCAGACAGTGCAGAGTACCCGCTGTGGTCTCTTTTCTGTTTATGACTGTAGCCTAAATAGTTAAGGAGACAAAAGGAGGCATCCCAGGGAGTGATTCTTGCTCCAAAACTCTTTTGTATTATTATAATAACCACGTCATGGGAACATCACAAACAGTTTTTAGAACAGGGACTCAGGACAACCTCTGCCTCCCACGTGAATATCCTGAATTTGGCATTGTGTTTTGCACAGAGGAATTCAGTTAAAAGAAGAGGTGACGTAGAGGGCTTAGGCAGAAGCCTTCTGGAAGCTACTTGTTTTCCTAGGAAAATAATGCTGGTGTGCATTTCTCTCCTCCTGAGCGGCTGAACTTGCTGTCTGTGTCCTGGATGAACTCCCCAGCCCCAGTGCTTCACAGAGGACAGATGCAGCCATCACACCCTCCACTCACTGTGCTCACAACCTGATCTCTGCTTTATAAGTGAAGGGGCTTATGATGTTTTTTGTCTTTTCTGCTTGCTTTTCTCGGGAGATGTCAAGCCATGAATCACAGTTGGAAGGGAGGCATTTCCTGGTTAGCAGTGTTGAGCCTCAGAAAGAGGCACATCCCAAGGATGGAAAGCTTCCCTTTGCATTAGCTATGTGTTTGTTAACTATTGATGCATTCAGTTTTGGCACCTAATTAACTACTTGTGCTCCCTGGGAGCTGAGGCACTAACACCAGGCTCTGAATTTTGCTCCAAGGAACAAAGCTCAGAGACTCTTCTGTCTCCCTCTAAACTCCTGGAAGGCTGAACATCATGCTGACAATCCTGAAAAACAGGAGGGACGGTGCTTTCTGTGTGGGGCAGTACTGTACCTGAGAGCCAGGACTCCTGTGTGCAAAACTAAGCTGTTAAAAGACTGCTTGAACACAGCACAGAACTCAGTGAAGAATTTCATCCTTGTCCATCTTGATTACAGTCAGATCTCCTCACCCCTTGGGCAAATATAATAATTCTTTTTATTATTTTTATGGCTTTGGTCCTTTTTTTCTAGTTATAGCAGAGGGTTTATTCCCGGTGTATGGTCAAAATGTCAGTCATCAAAATGTGACCACAGTTGTGTAATTTAGACTGTAGAAATAAAAAAAATAAAAAAAAAAAAGCCAACAACCCCAAAAAGCAATATTGGATATAAGCAGAGTGCTGTTAGGCCTGCCGGGAACTGTCTGCCACATACCTGAAAAATGGCCGTGAGATGTTAAATGACAGCCGGTGATAAAGACACTTGGCTTTGGCACATCAGGCCCCGCTCCAGGTTAGAAAACAGCCCCCGGCTGTTGCATGGGGATTTTAATTTGGATGCCCCGAGTGGCGGGAGTAAGTGTGCAGGGTGGCTTTCAACAGGAGCCTGGTTTGGATGTGGCAAGCGTGTGGGAGGGGAAAACACCGTGTCCTGAGCAGGTCCCAGCTGAGGTCACCTAAGGCGGAGCAGGGATGCGCTGCTCACCCCATTACCTCTCTGTGGGGAGGGGCGCGCACCGGACCTGGGGTCAAAGCCCCGTTGACGGGTCTGGCTCTGTGCAGTGTGGGGGGGAAGGCATAAGGCACGACACGCCGGTGATGTCCGCAGTGGGACCGTGCTCGCCCCGGGGGGTACCCGTGCGCGTGCGCGCCCCGCGGTCCCCGTTCCCACCTGCGCGGCGCGGATCCCGGTGCGCGGCGGGGCGGGGCGGGGATCGCGCGTAACAGCCTGCAGCCGCGCCCCGCGCCCGGGAGGCGGTGGCGCCGGCGAAGGTGCCTCCCCGCCCGCAGCGGCAGCAGCACCAGCACCGCCGGCACCAGCATCGGCAGTGGCAGCACTGGCAGCGCCAGCGCCCGCAGCAGCAGCGGCATCAGGAGCTCCAGCGTCACCAGCACCGGTAGTCTCAGGCTCTGCCACCGCCGGCGCCCAGCGGCTCCGCGGCTCGGTGCCGGCAGGTGATTAAGCGGATGAGCAGTCTGCGGGGGGCAGGCGGCAGGGATTAGCCGCGGCCGCCCGCTGCTGCGGAAAGGCTGCTGCAAGCCCGGCGGAGGGACGCGGAGAGGTGTGCGGGGAAGGGGCACATAGCGGCCGGAGCCGCAAGTTGTGTCGGCGGCCGGAGCGGGGCCGGGGCGCAGCGGCCCCCGGGGGGACCGAGCTTTGGGTGCCGGGGGCACCGGTGGGTCGGCGTGTGTCGGGGGTGACCCGGCGGGATCCGCCGTGGCCCCGTTGGCGCTGGGCGGTTGTCAGGTTCGGGTCTGGTCGGGGACGAGGGGTGCGGGGCACCCGTGGACACGGGCTGGGGGCTTCGGACTTGGGGCTGGCGGGAACTTTAGTTGCGGTGTGGCATCAGGGTCCGCTTTCCCGTGGGGACAGGACTCTGTCCAAACCCGCTAAACAGTTCGTTTGGCGAAAATCTTTACAACTCAAGTCACAAAATGCTTCCCTGTAGGACATATGAATACCAGATCTTTAAAATGAAAGCACTGCTGAAAGCCTTGCAGAGGAGCTTTGCTTGGCAAGCTTGAGCACTGAAGGCTTTCAATAAAGAAAATATATTGTCCTCCAACTGGATGCAGAAAATAGAGCTGAATTGTCGCTTCCTAAATCTATCCTGATTCCTGGCTTTCAGTTACGAGAGCTTTTGGTGGCGTTCGAGTGCCACGGCCATCATGTTCTCTAAATATCTCCTAATCCTGAGGCAAGCCAAAGTCTGTTGGTGTTCAGTGGGTTTTGTACATGTAGGGCATAGGCGTACTTCATTCTTACTTCATATTTACTTTATGTTGATACAAATTCAATGCTTCTGCTCAGCCCTGTGTTTTGGCAAAGTGCTCTCTTGCAGCGGAACTGGGGGGACCTTCTAAATGAAGCTAACAAGTAAAATATGCTTTGAAATGGAGTGCAGATGGGAAGCCTCTTAAGTATTGTGTTGCACAACAGTGTGCTCTCTGTGTGTGCCATTCAGCTTGCAAAACTCTAGGTTTTATGAATTCATCCACAATCTGAGCTGGTCCCTGTGCTATTCAGAAATGCTGTGCATTGATGTGTGGAACAGCAGCGGTTCTGATGAGAGAGGTTAATTCATCTCTCTCCTGACAGCACTTTTGATGCCTGACACCTCTGGTCAGCGTGTTTGTTAGAGATGTGTGTGTGCTCTTAAGTTTTTTAATTCCAAAACATTCTCAAATTGTTGAATAAGAAGAGTAACTGGTGTTTGCTGGCTCAGGTAGGTGGTGTCTTTAACTTTCCTTGAGCTGTTTTGTGAGTTATGCAGCTGTCTGTTGCATCTTAGTGTGTTACTGTGGATTGCCATTTCGTACTGACTGATAGTAATAGATTGATAGTAGCATCCTCGACAGCAGAAACTGAGGTTCTTTACCCCCACATCTCACCCTTTCTTCATGGTAGGGAGTGTCTCTGGCTCCATCTCCTGGCTCAAAAAGAGGATCCCCCTTCATTAAGGGGGTATGGAGAGATGGGAAGCCTCCTGGTGGTTTTGGTGAAAGGTGATAAAGGTTTCTTCTTGGACTTGGAACAGTGAGACCTGTCACAGCAGGGTTACCTCCGTTTTCTGACTGGGGTGGGAATTATCTCGGAATTATCTCCTCACTTTTTTAATGGGAAGAAAGTGTGTCTCTTATGTTACTTTTATTAGGATTTGGAAAGATTTTTGATGTAGTGACTAAATTTTATCATGGTATTTAGAAATTCATAATTTAGTATTTTTATTACTTGCATGGATGTGCTGGAAAGGTTAGTCATCTTGCCTGGTATATCTTGTGTGTGATCTTTTCGTGGAAATGTATTAATGATATATTCTATATGTCACGATTTTTCTTCATGGTCAGGAAAGCTTGTTGCCTGCAAATTCTTAATCCATTTGAAATAGAAAACCTGTAGCAGAATAGAAGGATCTTGCTGTGATTTAGAGACTATGCATAGACTATGAGTGTGAGCAGAGGTAATCCTGTTCTGCAAACACAGATCCACAGAGAAGAGGATCCTTCCTTCACGGAAGACCTTCTGTATGCCTTGTCTTTAGTGCAGAGCAACTTTCTTCAAGTGCAGCTGGCAGGAGGAAAGAACTTAAGCAGGCTGTGGAATCAGGGTACCTGTCCTACCCCTGACAGCCAGGCTTCTGTACTCACTCACCATACCCCAAAGTGAAAGGAGAAGGTGGCAGACTGTTCTGACACTGATCATTGGTCCTTGAGGTGCTGTTGGTGGGGAACAGACCAGTAAGGTATAGCTGAAGCTGGCAGGTATGTGAAATTGCAAAGATCTCTTTTGTTTCTCTGTACATGTCCTGTTTATTCCAGCAAATGCCAAACAGGCCTACGTATGTCAGTGCCATTTAATGCTTCATTGTTATTGTTTAAAGTATGATGAATCGTGTGGGCTTAGGGTAAGAACTGACAAAGACAGCGTGGTGTAGTTGGGTGCTACCTACTTTTTTTAATTTGTGTGGCATTCTCTGCCTTCCCTATGGACACTAGGGGTTTTTGTGCCCTGGTGCAGAGTGTCCCTGGTTGCATGCGGAGATGTCTCTTGACACAGACAGCCTGGCAGCAGGGGAGCCCTGGGAAGAGGACAGCTTCTGGTGGGCTGTGGCGCCCCAGAGTTTCTCTCTGGTCAGTCAGAACCCTCCTCTAGAGGCTGAACATTGGTGAGTCTCTGAAAGCATGTTATTTCCAGAGTCCACTGCAGCAGGGAAGAAAGATGCTTCTCGGCAGATTTGCTATACACCATCTGAGGTCTGCACTTGGCTTGTGACCATGCTTCGTGCCTGCTGCGACCACAGAGCCACTGCCACCACTAGCCCTCCAAGGCTGAGCTGAATTATTTTCTGACTCGGATATAGCCAAGAGACGCATCAGCTACAAGAGATTCCAGCTGCAGAATGTGTGTGCGCTTTGTGTCTTGTTCAGATGTTATTTCCTTAATAAAATTGCTCATTTGGCGTGAAGAGCTGTTGGCTGGTTTGGGTGTTGGGTTTTTTTTCCACCCCCCTCTTTCCTTCTAGCCCTGGGATATAACAGTCAAGTTTTGTTCTCTGGCTTATTTTGTGAGTTGATTTAAGGTGCAGTCCACAGTCCTGGTAGAGCTGCAACTGCAGAGAACATGAGGTGGTAGCCTGTTTGACATGTGCGGGTAGAAATGGATGCTTTGGTGAGCACTGTGTGTTTGTGAAGGACAGTAAAAATGCAGCAGCCCTTAAAGAAGGTTTCACAGGTTTTAACTGGGGCGCTGCCTACAGCCAGCTTTGTGAGAATGCTGGCTTCAAGGACTGTAGTGAAGTCTGGGTTGATGTGAATATGCCCTGACTTCACACGTAAACTCATGCACACACACACACACACCTTCATTCACTATAGGCTGAGGCATTTTTCTTCAGTCTTGTTGCTTTTCTTCTTTCCAGTTCTTCCACCAGACTGTGCCTGTAGTAGCTGTCACTCTGGTGGAGAGGTTTGGTTTGCAGTAAAGTCTGTGAGGGTGTGAACAGCCTGTGGGCAGGACTTGGTACTTCTGCTCTACCTCTTATGCTTATTGTAGGAATGCTATAATGGAACACTTCTGGAGTAAATGCACTCTGTTTTGCTGTGCTAAAAATTTGTAACAGCCTGAGACTGCTAATGAGGAATAATGATACATTCAAGTAAAATACATGGGAATACAGTGGAATTCCATTGTTGTGTGCCAAAATGTAGTAAATGAGCAAGAGCTTAACCCAGGATTCAGGTGAAATGTTGCCATTTCTGCAGAATGCTCCATGAGTGTTGACGGTGGTCACTGACTGAAGCCACTTGTCTCTTGAGTGAAAACCTGGCACAGGTCCTGGCCTGTTTCCCAGAGCTGTAGAACTGGGGTACTCAGAAATGCTTTGTCTTAAGGACCCAGCTTCAGTCCATCTGGAGTCCCACAAGTCCATCTCCAGGCTTCCTGGCTGTGGGAAGATGGCTGAAGCCCTGTCGGTAGTCTTAGTGCAGGGCCAGCTCAGGTCAAGTAGATCCCTAGAGCATTAGGAGAAGTTGGCTCTGCTGCTCCTAGATCTGCATGGGCAGTAGCATTGCTGTGTTTGCTTAGCCCTGTGCTGGAGTGAGGTATGGTGGTTTTGGGACATGTCATACCCATGTCATTTTTAATAGTTTATATGTAACCCCCCCGTCAATGGGTGGTGCCCTATATCTAATTTTATGTAAATCTAATGTAAATATGAAACATAAGTTGAACATTGCAAAAGGAAGGCACTTGCGCAGCTGCCAGCTTTGTTTCCTTGAGATTTAGGTTCACATTGGCATAGGTCATTTGGTTTGTCACATTTGCATCTCAAGCAATTCCTATAGCATGGAGAACCTCTTGGCTACAGATGAATTCTGCTGGAGCTGAAGATTTGCAGTAACTCACAGAATTTGACCTTTTGTCTCAAGAAACTGTGGTGCAGCTTCCAAATACTACTGTACAAAATAGACAGGGAATGTATCTGTAAATCCCTGCAGCTGCTGGTGAGCTGGGAGAGCAGCAGGGCAGCGTTGATGTTGCTGACACAGGAGTTACAGAGAGGAGCAGGAATCTCACCCCAGGAACAGGAAGGAAACACATTTTCCAAGTTCTTGTCTGTAATCCAGGATGGTCAAGAGTGCCTTGGTGAGGTCAAGCTTCTCTGCTGGTTGTTCACAGATGATGATGAGGGAGTAGTGATACCAGGCAAAAGATCTCTGTCCTGTGTCTTTGAACACTGCCCTTCCTTTCTTGGGGACAGGATGTTTTGCGATGCGGGCTGATCCAGTTTCAGCTCTTGTGCTCTTCTAGGTCAAAGCTGAAAGAGCAGAGGGGAGGAGGGTACAGCAGCTGAAGCAAAAAAACTATGGAAATCCTTAAACACATATGTAGGAAACAGCTTTTAAAAAAGCTGTTTAAAATATGAATGAGCATGAGATGTAAATAACTTGCTAAGAGGCCAGCTTCCAGAGACAGGATAACCATAGGGAACTGCTTGGCTTGAGCTAGATACTCCTCTGTCTGTCTGAAGTTTCTGGCTCTTTCCCAAATGCTTGAATGTGAAAATATTTACTGAAAGTGACTTCTTGATGCTGTGGGTCTTGACCAGTGACCTAGGAATAAGTGTGGTTTGTTGAGCTGATACTGATGCCTCTTTGGGTTTGAGTACAGAATGGATTTATTTGTTGACTAAGTGGCATCTCCGGTGTAAATACTCTGTTGCTTGGGTTGATGATGAGCCAACTGATATGAAATTGGGGAAAGTTGCTTTCTTTAGCAAAGGGAAGTGACTTGTAGATCTCCTGGGAAGAAGGCTGCAAAGGACAGAGGAATGCTTTCTGCATAAAGCTGCCTCAGCTTTTTCACATTGTTCTTACAATAATGGTGAAAAAAGTGAAATGTTTTTGGTAGGAACTACCAGGCACCACCTGCATAAGAAGACCCAACAGTGATGCAAGAGATCCTGAAGACTTAAAACTGTGCTGCCCTGTTGCATTTCCCTCACTGACATCTGAACAGGGGAGTAGGGAGGAAAAGGTGAGACAGGGCTGCAGATGGGATGCTTCCCTAGGAAGGTGAGAGGCAGGAAAAGGAAAAAACTCTAAGTGCCTGTTGGAAGGCAGAGTGAACCGAGGTAGGTAGGTTGCATCTTGTAGAGAAAGCATGTAAGTGCCCATGCAGCAGCATCTTCTGGCTGCTGGAGGTGTTGTTGGGCTCTTCTAATGGCGCTCAGAAGCTACATGGCTTCAAAAGACTTCTCTTCAGGGCGGTCTGGCCAGCTGGACGTCAATGAAATTATTTGTCATTTACACCGATCTAAAGGAATTTGGCTATTCTCTCCTAGCTGTAGGCTCTGTTTTAAGCTTTGGATAAAGGCAGGGTCTCCTGGCTTCTCATGCCCATCTGCTTCAATCCTTTTAAAGTGTTGCTTTCACTTAAACACCATGAAGCGCCTTCCAGTGCAGCTTCTAAAGCAGAAGTTTAGACCGGCCAAGATGGTTTCTGAAGTTACCCTCCAGGGAAGAAACTTCTAAAGAAGCCGCCTCTCAGCCATGGTATTTGGGCAGCGTTCTGGAAACAGCTGCTGGGGATGCAAAAGGCTGGATTGGAATCTGGTTCATGGCTGAAAAGCTAGTTTTGTCATTAAAACTAAAATTTAAGAGAGTCCAGCTGCCTGCAAAGAGCAGCAGCTGGCTTGAGCAGCCGGCATGCTCCTTGAGGAACAGGGGAAAATACGTTTTATATTGTCTTCCATCAGCTCAGCTGCCCTTTATAAACAAACACTAAGTCTGCCAAAGGCAGTTGTTTGTGTTGCAGGTGAATTGCAAGAGAGCGCGTGGGGGGCATATGCTGGTAGTTTTGAGGACACCTCATAGTACTGCTTATAATTTAATTCAGATCTCAAAAGGGGTAATATAAGTGCTGTTTCCACTATGTGATCCCATTGCTTAGCAAAGCCTCCTGCCAGTGCTTAGTTAAGAAAGGAAATAATTGTCTTTGGTGTTGCAATGATGACTATATAATGAAAGGGATATTGGTTGTACTAGTCCCAGAGTTGCATCAAAGTGAAAGCAACAGGCTGTGGTCAAGGAATAGGGGGAGACTGGTCATTTCTTCCATAAACTTTTGAATAGTGATTCCTTTTCTTTTCATGGCTAGAAAGTTTAAGTCTTACCTGATGATCTAAAAATACTGTACAATATATTGTAAGTTTTGAAGTTTAAGTGGAGTACAGCACCTGCAAAAATAATTTATACATGAAACCCCTCTGTGAGCAAAATAATTGGGGGGAGGGAGGAGGAGGAACCTAGAATGAGCTATTTGTGCTGTTTGTGGCTTTTCTAAATCTAAGTTGGCAGCAGGGTGGTGGATTTGCAGATAAAAAGCTTACAGGCATAGTTGTCCTTCCTTGCACATATACTGTGTTAGTAAGCAGTTGTGCATGGAAGTAATTTGCAGTCTAGTTTCTATTTATCCTGCAACAAAGGCATTTTAAGCTTTTGCTGTTGAGATGGTATGGAAGCCATAAGCATAGAATAGAATCCATAGGTCTCTACAGCAACATTTGGGACAGTTATTTAGCAACTTTTGGGACGGATATAATATATATATATTATATATATATTTATATAGTATATATTTTGTCTCGAAACTGGAGAGGCATCAATTTGATGGGTGGACCACTCAGTGGATAAAGAACTGGCTGGATGGCTGCATGCAAAGAGCTGTGGTCAATGGCTCAATATCTGGCTGGAGACCAGTAACAAGTGGTGTCCCTCAGGGATCGGTGTTGGGACCGGTCTTGTTCAACATCTTCGTCGCTGACATGGACAGTGGAATTGAGTGCGCCCTCAGCAAGTTTGCCGATGACACCAAGCTGTGTGGTTTGGTTGATACGCTGGAGGGAAGGAATGCCATCCAGATGGACCTTGACACGCTGGTGAGGTGGGCTGATGCCAACCTCATGAAGTTTAACCATGCCAAGTGCAAGGTCCTACACCTGTGTCAGAGCAATCCCAGGCACAGCTACAGGCTGGGCAGAGAAGAGATTCAGAACAGCCCTGCAGAGAAGGACTTCGGGGTGTTGGTTGATGAGAAAAAGTTAACATGAGCTGGCTTTAGTGTGCATTTGCAGCCCAGAAAGCCAACTGTATCCTGGGCTGCATCAAAAGGAGTGTGACCAGCAGCAGGTTGAAGGAGGTGATCCTGCCCCTTTATTCTGCTCTCATGAGACCTCACTTGGAGTATTGTGTGCAGTTCAGGTGTCCTCAACATAAAAAGGACATGGAACTGTTGGAACAAGTCCAGAGGAGGCCACGAGGATGATCAGGGGACTGGAGCACCTCCCGTGCTGAGAAAGTTGGGGCTGAGAAAGTTGGGGGCTGAGAAAGTTGGGGCTGAGAAAGTTGGGGGCTGAGAAAGTTGGGGGCTGAGAAAGTTGGGGGCTGAGAAAGTTGGGGGCTGAGA